CAAGTCCCCCCCCCCCCCCCCATTTTCACATCAGAATCTCCCCCCTTCAAACAGCAGTCCCTCCCTTGCACATCAGAGTCTCCTCCTTTTAACATAAGTCCCGCCCTTGCAAATCAGAGTCTCCCATTCACCATTCTCCTGAATGAATATGGGGCGCATCATCATTTTTTTTTACAGTTCCCGATGAATCCAGGCGGCACCCCACGGTGCCTCGGCACTCTGTTTCAGAAAGGCTGTACTAAACCTTTCGAAGTAAATGTTAATCTGCAATTATGTTGGAGGTGCACTTCAAACAACAACAAGGTATTGTTAGGCTTCCCCCTTACTCTCTGATGTGATACCATGAGGGAAGGTTCTTTCCAACATGTGAGGGCCCCATGGCTTCTTTGGGTGACATGATATGTAGGTCATTTAGAGTGGCCAAGTAAGCTGCTGGAGTAAGCCAGATTTATGCCAAGTGAACACAATTCACAAGAGCTAGGTGGCAGTGGAAACACCCCAGAGGATCCCCATGCAGACATGGAAGCAGAAATCAGCACTGTCAAGCTGAAGTGTATAGGACAGACCGAGCAGAGCATGGCCAGTGTACACCTGTTGTTCTTGACCTTCTTCCCCTATATAACCTGTCTTTGGACTGTTACATTTACACCAGAGACTTGTATAGCGCAGCCTTTCTAAATCAGGGTGCCATATCACTCTGGGGTGCCTTCTGGCTTTCCTCAGGGGTGCCTCGAAATTTTTCCAGAAGCCTCAGACTTTTCCTTTGTGCTAATTCGAGGAGGGTGGGTCCAATTCAGAAAATAATGGAAGTGTGCTTTTGTTCATGCAAGAGGGGGCTCTGATGTATATAAAAAAAAGACCTTTTCATGTGAAGGGGGTTCTGATGCAAAGGGGGCTCCTAGTATGAGTCAGTTCACTGATTTCCCAGCGAGCTGCTGCTGGCGGTATACTGAGAAACCGCAGCTGAAGCGGATCCCGACAATTTTCCCGGGATCCGCCCAGCTGCGTGACTGACAGCGGGCTCTGCCTATCTAGAGGCAGAGCCACCTGTACCCGCCCCCTCCCCCGTCTGTTCAGCCAGTCAGCGCTGGTGGATCGGAGCGGGGAATCCAGCCCCTCCCCTGTCACGGCAGAGAGCCGTGACAGGATCGAGAGGTGAGGGAACCTGGTATGTGTTCGCTCACTTCCCGATCTACTGAGCCAACCTGTGACAGTCTCATTGTCACAGGTCGGCTAGAACTAAAGTTCTCCTTTAAATTGTGTTTGTGTGCAATACAACGAATATGAATGCATTTTCTACCAAAAACAGTTGTGCACATATCATGTGACATAAAATATTTCAATGGTCACCGTTTTATTCATCAGGGTCTTTCTGAAAATAACTAATCTTCAGGCCTGAAATATGCATTTTAACATGTGTGCAAAAACAGCTTGGCAATGAAAGTGTTAAACTAATAGTAAAAAATGGGTAAAGATCAGTAGTCTTGCTCTGCGTTCAGATCCATAGAATCAAAATAGAAAAATCTGCCCCTTCAAATGAACATAAACATTTTTACTAACACTTACATGTATGCAGTGCAAATGCACTCTATTGGAGCTTCCTGCATACTAGCACCAAAGGGTCTTGCACCCTTCATTGCAGGTGGCTGAAGTTGGCTGCCTAAAGTCCTTAATTGCTTGAACGCAGGCAGCTGAAGCTGCCTAAAGTCCATTGTTGCTAAGATGCAGTGGCTTGAGCTGCATTGAGTCATTTGCAGCTAGGATGCCGGCGGCTGAGGCTGCCTAGAGTCCTTCGCTGCTAGAATGCAGTGGCTTGAGCTGCATAAGAGTCATTTGTAGCTAGGATGCAGGCGGCTGAGGCAGCCTAGAGCCTTTTGTTGCTAGGATGCAGGAGGCTAAAGCTGCCTAGAGCCTTTTGTTGCTAGGATGCAGGCGGCTAAAGCTGCCTAGAGCCTTTTGTTGCTAAAGCTGCCTAGAGCCTTTTGGTGCTAGGATGCAGGCGGCTGAAGCTGCCTAGAGCTTTTTGTTGTAGTATACGAACAGACCACACTATCCAGAGAATTCCAATACTTCAAACATTGAAATTCACAGCAAATCCAGTATAACAGTGAATAAAAGTGTAGAGACCTCTATGAAAAAGCCTACGGGTGAAACATGTGAGAGGTTGTAGTTGGTTGGGGGTGTGCATTTGCTGCTTTATATACATTTATTCACTGCTATACTGGATTTGATGTGAATTTCAATAAAGTCTGAAGTATTGGAATTCTCTGGATAGTGCGGTCTGTTCGTATACTACTACGCACCTATTAGACCAGCACCTGGGGAGTACTGATGGCGGCTAAGGAATTGGAGCAGTGAGATTTCCTTTGGTTCTAGAGCTTTTTGTTGCTAGGATACAGGCGGCTGAAGCTGTCTAGAGCTTTTTGTTGCTAGGATGCAGGCGGCTGAAGCTGCCTAGAGCTTTTTGTTGCTAGGATACAGGCGGCTTAAGCTGCCTAGAGCCTTTTGTTGTTAGGATGCAGGCAGCTGAAGCTGCCTAGAGCATTTTGTTGCTAGGATGCAGGCGGCTGAAGCTGCCTAGAGCCTTTTGTTGCTAGGATGCAGGCGGCTGAAGCTGACTAGAGCCTTTTGTTGCTAGGATGCAGGTGGCTGAAGCTGCCTATAATCCTTCTTTGCGAGTATGCAGATGGCTTAAAATGCTCAGAATCTTTCACTGCTAGGATGCGGATGGCTTGAACTGCCTAGTCATTAGCAGCTAGGATGCAGGTGTCTCTAGCTGTATAGCATTCTAGTAATCAATGTTGCTAGTGATGCACCGGCCGCTGAAACATATCGGCCAAACATGGCTAAATGCCGAAAGTGCTATATACAGCGGCGCATCCGTAATTTCTTTCCTCCCCGCTGGGCTGCTCTGTGTCCCAGCGGGGAGGAGAGAAAGTGTCACAGGCGGCCACCACACCGCTCAGCCTCCAGTGCGGTAGCTGCTGGAACGCACCGCGATCGCTGTGAAACTTCCCCCTGCGTTTTGGGGCGGGAGGGGCGTGGCGGTGCATTGCATTCAATGGCACTGCTTCCACGCCCCCCAGCCCGCAGTGCGATCGAACTGGTGTGAACAAGGCCTAAATGTTGCAACTTTGTGCTATACATATTTAGGGCTCTTGCACATGAACGCCTGCCCCCGTACACCGTAAATGGTGGCGTAGTCCCTTACCAGGGAGCTCCGAATGCAGCTATTGACTTTAATGTGAGGCTGCAGTCTGCACTGGTGGTGGGGAATCTGCCTGCGTTTAACTGGTGTACAGGAGCCATTATGCAGATTCTTGTTGCCAGCAAGATCCTGCGCACCAGTTGCTATAGCCTCATATGGCCGAGAGTATGAGCCCAACGTGTCCTAGGTCCTTCTCCTCTGGGGTCCCAATACAGTAACCATTTTCTTTTTAGAGCTCTGATTATAATCTCTCCCTCCCATATATTATAAAACCAATCCGTAGTCACCCCGGCTGACCAGATAAGGGGGTTCAAACAAGCCTCAGGATGCCATCAACACTGCTCTGCTCCATCTCTACTACTCTATACAAAGCGGAAGAAAAACAATTCTGAGAGCAGCGTTTCCTCTCCGGACAGCGTGTTACATTGTAGCCGCATCCTCACTGCTGAACTCCCATTGGCTGCCTCTGCGTTCCTTTGCCTCTCATTGGCTTCAAGTGAAGATAGTAAACGTACGCTGCTCGCTGATTGGTCAGGCTGGGGTGCCGTGTATACAGCGCTGCCTGGCTCCGGAGAGTGGAATTTGCCTTATTAGGAGAGTGAGTGATATTACAGGCACTTCCTGTCCGGGGTGTGTGAGGAGGAGAGCGGCTTCCAAACACAGGAGCTCCGGGTACACTGGGCACAGCTGGTAAGGAGCAGACATGTCTGTATTATGGAGCACTGTCATTGTATCCTGATCACTGTATGGGGGTCATACATGGATGCAATCACACTATTCGGTGTACTGTTTGTTTTATTTACTTTAAAATGGATCTCCTACTATTTTTAAGTCCCCCTTCTGCTTTGGTAAAATCATTGCTGAGTTCTGCTCACCTCCTCCATGCTCCAGTGTTGTCCCAGACTTCCTCCTCTGTCCAGCAGCAGCGGTGGTCCGCTTCAGGTAGTCATGTCATTGTGCCCGTTTCTATTGATGAGGCTGGGCTTGGTGTGAACCCATTTCATCTAAATTTGGCCAGGACCCCCTTGTGACAGACACCCCGGGGCCCAATCACTTGCGGCAGGGGCTTTCGCCTCCTTTCTGAGATGTGTAGCTGTGGGGTGGGGTGGAGAATGTGCCCGCTGCAACTGATTGTGCCCACCGGATGGCACGTCATCACGCAAGCCGGGCTCACGGTACTCCAGGACTGAGTGGCGCTCACACATCCTTATGCAAGCGCCACTCATCTTAGAGGGAGGACAACTGTCGCCAGAGGAAAAAGAGGGAGCTGCCGTGATACCAGCGGACTGGCTAGAAAATGTTTTTGAATTTATTTAAATAAAAATACTGGGCACGCTGGATGACACTGGTGCTGGCTGTACAGGCACTGGTACTGAATGACACTGGTAATGGCTGTACAGGCACTAGTACTTGATTAATTTTATTATTATAATACAGGATTTATATAGCGCCAACAGTTTGCGCAGCGCTTTACAATATAAGGAAGACATTACAATCACAATACAATTCAAGACAAGATGGTAAGGAGGGCCCTGCCCCTGAGGGTTTACAATCTAAGAGGGAGGGGCAAGTGATACATGAGGAGGTAGATGTGTGGGGATGAATTGTTTGAGAATGTGATGGTACAGTGGTTAGGTTGAGGCGGGATAGGCTTCCCTGAAGAGATGAGTCTTAAGGGATCGCCTAAAGGCAGTCAAAGTGGGAGATAGACAGACAGGTTGGGATAGAGAGTTCCATAGGATGGGAGAGACTCTAGTCAAGTCCTGGAGGCAAGCATGGGAGGAGTTGACAAGGGAGCTGGAAAGCAGGAGGTCTTTGGAAGAGCGGAGGGGACAATTAGGGTGATACTTTGAGACCGGTTTGAGATATAGCCGGGGGCAGAGTTGTGGATGGTTTTGTAAGTGTTAATATTTAGAATGTTATCCTTTTGGGCTATTGGAAGCCAGTGCAGGGATTGGCAGAGGGGTGTTGCCACTGGCTGTGCAGGCACTAGTACTGGATGGCACTGGTCCTGGATGACACTGGCACTGGCTGCACAGGCACTGGTCCTGAATGACACTGGCACTTGTCCTGGATGACACTGGCACTAGCTGTACAAGTACTGGTCCTGGATGACTGGGACTGGCTGTACAGGCACTGGTCCTGAATGACACTGGCACTTGTCCTGGATGACACTGGCACTAGCTGTACAAGTACTGGTCCTGGATGACTGGCACTGGCTGTACAGGCACTGGTCCTGGATGGCACTGGCTGTACAAGCACTGGTACTGGATGACACTGGTACTGGATGGCACTGGCTGTACAGGCACTGGTACTGGATGACACAAGGAATGAGCCGAGTGCTTGCCTCCTATACAAACAGAAGAAAATCTGGCTGCACACCGGATTCCACTGAGATAGTTTATTGAAGCTTGTACCACATCACTGGTGTCCCACTAAAGGTTCACCCCACTGACGCGTTTCACCCAATCACAGGGCTTAGTCGTATGTGTGTTTGTGGTGGTGTGCGCTGAAAAACAGTACAGCATGCAGTACATTTTTTCAGCGCAGCACGGTGCTGTGTGGTACAACTGCCGCACACTGCACTGTGCCAATAGACTTTAATGAGATGTCAGTAAAGGTCTAGCAAACAAAGTAAAAAGTGTGACGCGTCGGGCTCAGCACATCCATGCTTTACCGGTCAGTGCACACCAGCAGCGGTGCATGGTGTGAACCGGCACAGAGAGCACACTGGAGATTTTCCTTCACTTCTTGTCTGATGTGCACAACAGGATGGAAGAGGAAGTGCCCCCAAAGGGAGGGAAATCCCTGGTGGTCAGCAGGGTCACCAGAGCTGGGGCCTCCATTGAAAGATTTTATATTTATTTCTGTTCTGATGACAACTTCAAATTAGTGATTTTCTTTCACTTTAAATTATAACGTTCCCCAGAACAAATAGAGAGGGTGAATCTCCCTAACGGGGACAGCAGTGAAAACCCGTCATGGGTTCTAATCCCTCTTCACTCTATCCAGAACTATAAAAAAAAAGTTTCAGTTGCACTTTGAGGAAGGACTGGACAAATTCCAGGAGCCAAGCTGTCAGCAAGGATGCAGGGACATGGTGACACCTGCCTGGGGTGGCAACAGATTTGGTGAGAAGTTTGTGTGGAATAACCGGCCATATTGTCTCATTGTTTGCGGTTTTTCTTTTTCATTTTTGTAGCAAGATGTCCAAGTCATTGAAGAAGATAGTGGAGGAGAGCAAGGAGAAGAATGTCACCGAAATTGACATGTGTGACAGAGGAATCATAAATATGCTGGACATTCCTGGCCTGTGTAAGTAGAGTTCACACAAATACCTAAAATCTCTGTACCCCAAATGTGTCTGAGTCCCAAGTTTTAGGTACAATTCTGGTGCTGTTGGTACACTATAGTCAAGACTACAAATTAGTATTGAGATGCCTAAAGCTGAAGATGAATCAGCTGTTATTTTGCCTTCCCTGGTTCCTCCTTTCCCACCTCATCAGCGGGATTTGTTTTTTTTAGGCCTAGTTCACCTTTAGCATTTCAGCATGCCCAGCACATCACAAATCACTGCTCAGCTGTTGAAAAGCTGCTCCTTTAGCAGTCCATACGTGTAGGATATGTGTGGTGTGTCTCCAAAAACGCCTAGAAAGGGGACACC